GTTCATATCCTTTGGTATGTTGTTATGATCAGCAATACCACTTGTGGAAATGTATACTGCCCTGGCTAGCTCTTTTGTTGATCCAGCTCCCTCCCTCTTCCATTAACAATAACCCTCTTCTTTGTGGGATACTCTGTCTCCCCAAAGCCCCATTTTATGGGTCTAACCGTAACTCTCCTTTGGCTGGCATCAAGCCAACTCAGGTTCCCTCCAGGGCTTTCCCAAATTGGAACTAACATCAAAAAGGCCAATTCTGGATGTGAGGCTTGAGAGCTATAATACCAGCAGCCATACACGTATGATCTTTTTCATATTTCTTCAAAAGCTCATGCAACAGAGGATCCCATTTTTGCATGAGTATACATGCATGAAAAGGTCACAGCCAAGTACTTCTTAGAGACTTCCCCACTCTCCACCCCCATCGCCTACCCAAAGAGGTAATAAGCCACTGTTCATGACTGGCAGGTAACCCTAGGTGTGCTGAGGTAGGGCAGGGAAGAGGTTGAGTCACTGTGGCTCTGGGCTATGTGGACTGAACATACTGGGTTCACATCTGTCTACCTCTACAACTGGAAGGTTTTCACTAATAAATTGCCTCATGTTAGCGGCAAAATCTGTACTAAAATCCAGGAACCAAGTCATCCCTCTGCAACACTTTTGTCTTTGACATTCCTGTCTGTGGAACTCTTCTTTCTAGAACATTCTCCTTGGTCACACCCACCTGCAGGGGACCCTAAAGACAACACTGACCCTAGAAGGGCAAGTTCCATCAGCAACGCAGCTAAACCAAACCAGGACAACCCCTTTCACTCTCCACAAGATAATGTCCTCTGAAAGCCTTCTTCATCAAAGTCCTCTATCATTCCAAATCCATGCTCCCGATAACAGTATTAAAAACCAAGAGTCATTCTTCTCCTTTGCTGCTTTTGTCCCTTCCTGGTACAAAGTCTCCCAACTTCTCTAGCAAATAATGCTTCATAATGTTCTCTTCTCCTCTCACTCATGGAAATGGTGGCAATTTCAGATGTACTACACCTCCTTCCCAGCCAATGAGCACTGATACATCTTCTTCTTGAGGTTTAAACCCCATTGCTTAATATTTTGAAAAGACATTCCTCTGAGAATAAGTTTAAAAAGCTGAAGATGGACAAGCCGATCACACATAAAAGAGCCTACAGCTTAACACATAATTTCATTTTAGAACCTGTTAAAGAAAATCCATACCAGTCTCCAGATGAGTGTCAAGCTGCAGTGAGTGCCGCTAACTAGGCAAGCAGGACAGAGCACAAACATTTAGAGACACAGCAAAAATGGGTCACCTGCAACCTACTACCTCTTTACCATCAACCCAACAGCATAAGGGAAGGATTTATTTAGCATGGAAAGTGCTGCAAAATCAGACTTATCCAGCCATCAGTAGAAACAGCTCAAGAATGATGACACCAAAAAAAGGAATATTCATCCAGGCTTTGCAATCAGGCTGAGAGATACCAAGATCAAAGGCAAATGATATGTTCATTTTTTATTTTTAAAAAGAGGTATAGATTTGAAAAGTGATTTCCTTAAGAATGCTGTCTGAGTTACTAGTCCGGATTATAAATCACATTACACCCTGAAGCCTACTTAATAAAAAAGAAGTTGAAAATAAACAAATGATTAGTTTGAAGCATGTGACTTTCTGAAACTCTCTTGAGGAGAAAGTTTTATTACCATTATTAGTGAACTGTTTTTAATCCCTGACATCAAAGCATGGATGTTAACCCTGGGGTTCCGAAATCAAAATAACTCATATATAACCCTAAAAATGTATTGTGAGAAATTGCCACATATTAACATTAGTCTTTTTGGCAGGTTTGAATAAACAGAAAAGAGACTAGGGAGAATCAGAAGACTTTGGTTCAAGTTCAGCTCCACTATTTATAGATGATATGGGTCTAATTTAACTTCCTAGGCCTTGGTTTACTCAAATAAAGGATTAGGGATAAAATATGTAAATCAAGCCCTTATAAACCCCATAGCACTGCTCTAATATTACAGCACTGGCTCCAGAATTCCCATATTTCTCAAACTTTTGGAGAGTCACAGAACTTTAGGGATGCAAGGTAATCCCATTTTAGGGATGATAAAAATGAGAAAACCAAAACCTAGAAAGGCTTAAGAGCTCTCTGTACAGCAAAGACTTTTGTAACCTGGGGAGAAAGGGGGAAGGGAGAGGTTCTGGTTTTTCCACCACTGAAATATGCATTTAAAAGAGAGTTAAAAACCAAACTACTTTAAACACTAAAACAAATCCCCCCACAAATATATAAACACTCTGCTTTATTTTGCTTCTGTAAATGTATTCCTGTAACACCAGTTAAACTATTTATCATAAAGATAAAAATAAAGCCATTCCTTTTTCTATGAGACTCTCAACCCTACTCTCAACCCAACTGAGACAAAATCTTTACAATTAGGTTAGAAATGTCTAATGGAAACATCGACATAAAGTTAACCTCCAGCTATGCTGGCAGGAGTCATTATAATATGGATTATAGTTCCACTGGCCCAGGGATGCTGGTTTTAGTGTTCCCAGAGAGATAAAGAATTAATCAGCAACTCAGAAGAGGATGTCGCCTAAAAATGGACGATTTAATCCAGACAACTCCATTGTCTCTAAAATTATGCCCTCAATCATCCAGTGTCAAAAACCTACTATGGCACCAAATAAATTGTGTGTGGTTAAAGAGACAAAATGTTCTTTTTTTCTACAGGCTGTTATGGGAAGCAGAAAAAGGCTGACTATGAATCAGTTATGTCTTAGATCAAGGATGAATATAAATTATAATAATTTGGGCATTCTGGTGGTTAAACCAAGAAAGCAGGAAACCATTGCTTCCAAGTTCCAGCAACACTTCAAACCAACAGGCTTGATGCCAAAAAGTTAAGTTTGGGGCACCACAAGTGCAAGATAGGGTCATAAAAACTCACCTTAAATTTATTTGTGGACTTTTCCTGCTTCCACTAAAATCAATGACACTATTTCCCATGTGTTATTGTCAAATCACAACAGTCCGGAAGCCTGGACCAAGTTCACTTGGCAGGTAACAGGAACAACCCTAGGAGGAAGTCCTGAAGGATATCAGATACCATAGTTCCTTTACTGCCACATACTTTTCATTACAGAACCACCAGGATATATTTGTGATGCTTTTTGACTAACACTTAAACCAAGCATTCTGACTGACACAAACTGCAGAAACTGGCATACTCTAGGGAAGGTCCCTTGTGAGGTCTTTAAGTAGCTTAGATGAGTAAAACATTCAGACTACTTCCATAATGAACACCTCTCAGCCGCTCATAAATTCTTTCATTCCCAGCAATCAAGAAGCAGCTGTTAAAATCCTGGAATCTTCCTAGCAGCAGATCTGAAATACCTCCAGGCTGACCCAGGAAGCTTCACAACTGCTTTCCTCTCCTTTCCCTCCCCTGCCTCAGGAGTGCCAGCCTGGCAGGAATAAAGACGACCAAGGAAGGAAAAAAGAAGGTAGCGGATCTGGTGAAAGCAGAGACGCAGACTCCCTTCATTTCCACTACAGAGAAATACTAGCCCTCTGTGCCAACTAACCAGGTTTCTCCTTTCCTCTCCCACCCCCACCCCTCCAAACACGCATTAACTTCTGCAGTCTGGTGTGTCTGGCATTTCCAGGGCGAGCGATCTCAGCAATTCTGAGCCCTTTCCTCAGATTCTGAACCAGGAACTTCCTTTCCGCGCCAGCCAGTTTGCGATCCAACCCACGTTAGGGCTCAGCTCCCATTTACCTTGTAACCTGTACAGACGACGCTGCTTCTGGGGTCAAGTTCAAGATGAAGGTTCCCTCACCTCCCAAGTTAACTCCAGCTGGGAACAACGCCACTGCGAACGGTCCCAACATTGGAGGCACAGGGATCTGGAGCTGCCAGGAGCTGGCAGGAGGGGGCTGGGAGAAGGCCGTCGCCGAGCCTGGCGTCCTCCGCCCCTTGGCCGCAGCGTCGCGTTTCTACCTGGCCAACGCCACATTTCCTCCCGGAGCACAGTAAGTCCAGTAAGTTTTGAGAACACCGGTCTAGAGACCTTTCTGTCTGCAAACACACCACCCAATGTCTAGAGCTTCCTTCCCAGCCAGGCGTTCCGGAAAGCCGCCGCGCCAAAGCCGGGAGCCCCGCACACCCACAGCGCTGCGCGCCCGCACCCCAAAGTCCTTCAGGAAGCCAGTGCCCTGATATCGTCCTCCCAAAAGGACCGCTCTGCATCCAAGAACAAGGGGGCTCACAATCTTGACAATTACTGCTTTTCTCAGCGTCCCACCCGTAAAGAAAAACCCCCAAAGTCTAATCCTCACTCACCCCTACCCCCAGTAAAGGAGTGTGGATATGCTAATCGCAGTGTTCTTGGAAGCAAAGCAATAGATTTTCAGCCCAGACTATGGCAATACGATGCCCCCGGCTTAAGTTCTCTCGGCAACTTCGCGACCCGCGCACCCCAACTCTCCGGGGGGCGCCTAGGACCCCGCTGTGCCAGGCGCGCCTCCCCCGGTCTCTCCCGCGCCAGGTACCAGGCGTAGCCCAGGCCCTTGCCAAGCCCGAGGGCTACAGAGAAGGCGGGAAAGGGGGCGAGCAGGCGCGCCGGGCGGGGGTGGTCCCAAAACTCAAGCGCGCCCCGAGCATTCCCGGTTCCCATCACCCCGGTTCCACCGCAGGCCGGCTCGGTCCGGCGCGGCGGAACCGCGCAAGGAAGGTGCGGACTCCCCAAAGCCGCCGAGACCAAGGCCCGGGGCGCCCAACATGTCTGTGCCTATTCCCGGAAAGCTCCCGGGTGTGCCCGGCGGAGAAGGGGGCGCTCCGGAAACTTTCCCACACGCCTTTCCCTTCTCCCATCACCCTCTCCTCCCCGGGTCCCTCTCGACCTCTCCGCACACTGGCAGCTGGCCATGCCCAGGGCGCTCGGAGGCCCACGGCGGAGCCGGGGCGGCGGGAGTTACCTGCCGGGAAAGTTTCCAGCTCCTCGGCGCGGTTCCCCACACCCAGGGCCGGGCCTCGGGGCGCGGCCAGCTCGGCGCTCCGCTGCTGCCTCTCCTCCAGCTCCCGAGGCGGCCGCCGCTCCAGCAGCTGCCACAGCTAAGCGTCCGCTCCGGCCCGTCCCCCGCCTTGTTCGGCCCACACCGGGGCCTCATTGGCAGCGCGAATCCCCGCCCTTGCGCGTGTTCCCGAAGGCACCTTCCTCTCGCGCGCCCGCCCCGGCCGCGCCTCCCGCGCCCCTCCCCGCCCGGGGCTGCGGCGGATCCAGGAACCGGCTGGAGCGCGGAGCGCGAACTTTCCGTGGGGTTTGGGCGCGGGGTGGCCTTGTCCCGCCTCTCGGCGCCGGGTCCAGGCCAGAGGCACCCTACCGTCCCTTGGGACACCGGGTCCCCCGGGGTGCGCCTGGGCCCCCCCCGGGACCAAAATGAGATGGGCCATAGTCTTTTTTACAGCCTCTTCAAAATCAACAAAGCGACTCCGGCCTTCCCTCCTCGCTGTTTTTTTTACCACAGCCGTGGAGGACATATGGGAGCAATTAACCAAGCTGGAGTTTCCGTGGACGCTTTAGGGTGGCTTGTGCGGCTTTCTTGTATTTTCTCTGCCTCACTTAACTACACACAAACACAAACACACTTTCTGGGGCCAGAATGAGCTAAATGAACTGGAAGGTCTAAGAAGGCATCTCGCAGGCTGCGTCTTTTTCTTTCCCAAAAGCGACTGGGGGATGTTCTGGGACCGGTGATTTCCCGGGCGTCCGCGGGGCCGCGGGTCTGGACCTCCTGCGACCGCTCCGGGCTGACCCGTGCTGTCTGCGCTACTTTCACAGAGGGACAGCGTCGTGCTTCTGTCGGATGGAGGTGGGAGGGACAGAGGGGAGAGAACACACAAAGATGCTATTATTTTGTCGGTTGGTGGCAGTAAATTAAACTCCTGAGTTCCCAAAATGTTTTGTTATTCTCCAGCAGAGCAAAAACCAGGATAGGGCCTAGGGATTCGGGTGTCCTGGGTTCTCCAAGATCCTCCCAGGAATCCCAGGCAGCCAAATTGGCCTAGGGTACTCTGCCCACTTATTACCCGAAGCTCTCTAAGACAGCCTTCGTTGATCTAGTTGACCAGGGAAGGATCAACTAGAACTGCCCCTGCCTTGTGTGGCCAGCGGGAATTGTGCACGGGTCACCCCATTGGTGTGTCTGGAGCAGAGAATAGAGAAGTTGCTATAAACCGATTTATTGGCAACCCCTAACCTTGCTGTGGCAAACCCGCCTTTAAATACGATTGCGTTTTAAACAAGTTTCCTCATAAAAACTTCAACCTCACGCAGAGCTTCCCAATATAAAGACATCAGCAGGAGGGGTGTCCATATTTAAAGTTCTTATGAAAAGGGACAGGAAGCAAAATGCCACACAATCTCTTTTCATAAATTAAAAAGACTGAAATGGACTGGATTTTTCACCCGTAGTTTCAAAGGCCTGATTACTGCTGTGTTGATATTTGAGCAGTAAACACATCAGCGGCCTCCAAGTATTCCCGAAATGAGGCAGGATAGAATATTTAAAATAAAAATACGAACTTAAACCAGAAAAGCTATTGACTTCTTTCTCCATCTGAAATGTTTCATTGCTGAAAAATATGGTAATGTTTTATTTAATTTATCTTGAAACGAAATCTTTCAATAACAGACAAAAAAGCCAGACAGCAACCTTAATGATAAAAGAATAATGCAAGCAAAAGACAAAAACTCCAAGCAGTCTAACTAATCTGAAATATTAAGATACAAGAGAAACAATCCTAAGAAAATAGACTGGTAATTTCCTGCTCCAGACTTCTTTATAATGGGTGAAAGGTATAATGGATGAAATTTATCATTTGTACCACATTTTTCTGGTTTTGGCTTTTCTCAGCTGTATTTCCAAATTATGTATGAAATTGCTTAGTTAAATAGCGCTTTGAAGGCAATGCAATTTTTTTCCCTCTACCCTCAAAGCTCCTTAAGTAGCAAGTAGAAAATCACATAAATATGTTCATTACTGGCATCATCTTTAAATTATTTTTAGTTGAAAAACTTTTGTCTTTATAGTTTCAGAAGTCACAGTCACTAAAGAAGTAACTTCATCACCGCCTAGTTAGGAGTGTTTAACATTCTAAACAGGCATACAGCTAGCAATCTGAAATGTGCACACAGAAAGGCCCTGTCTCCCCTTCTTCCTGTAGTGTTTATATAATCCAAACTACATATGTTATTATGCACAATCTGATCTCCAGCTTTAAACAGCTGACATTACATACACTATGTTGTACTAAGAACATCAAAGAAGCTCTCTTAATCTGTGGGTGAAAACAGTACATTTTATAAAAGACAAGGCCAAAAACAGTAAAAAAAAAAAAAAAAAAAAAAAGAAAAGAAAAGAAAATTCATGGGTGAGGCAGACAGGGGGCTTCCACTAAGATCAGTTTGTAAGAAAAAAATGTGAAAATTTTCTAAGCATCTTAATAACTGAAGTATTAGCTGAGCACATATTAAAAATGAATTATAATGGTTTTCTAAAAATCTGCTTTTCCCTTTAAAAAACAAGCATTTTTAGTTAGTTGTTAGGTGATGGTTTGTTTGAATTTTTAGGAAAAGGAGAGCAAGAATCATCGCTTGCTTTTCTGGGGATATCTCTGCTTACCCCATCTAGTTTAAGAAGCTCATTCATTACATTTCTGTTGATACCAGTTAGGGAAAAAAAAAAAGAAATATAGATCACACGAATTGTCTATGCTGCACACATTCCCTAAACAGACATACAAAATACTGGATTCCATTTTTAAATTTTCTGTCAGTTTGCCAGCAATGTAGCTTTTCTCAGCAGAGTGAAAGAAAACAGCAAATAATAAACTGGCTATTTTACTATACAGTTTACTGCCCAGGGGAATAGGCTGAGGAAGGCGTGAGAAAAGAATGTGCCTTGTGAGTGTTAGAACGCTTTTTTCTCTTGCTTGGATTCGTAAGTACTTCTATTTTAAATCAAGTCTAAGTTAGGATCATAGCCAGTGTTTATTATGGTATGTGTAGTATAGAATACATAGTGAGAAGTGAAATGTTTAAAACACTGTAGTTAATTACATACAAAAACTGTAACAGGGCTAAAAAAAAATTTAAGTCAATTTTAAGGCAAAATTTAAGGAAATCTAGACTCAAAATAATTCAGCACACAAACACTTTTCTCCTTCTTTGGGGCATCTTTTAATGTTTACAAAATCCATTCTCCTTTGGTCCATTCATTCTTCCTCTCCCTTTTAACATTCTGGGGAAGAAAATAATTGTTAAAGACATTGAGAATAATAAAATAAATTGGGTGTAGTTAGAAATCAGGTGGGAATAGCAATGAAATTGCATACCCCTACACAGTACCGGCATGTGTAACGATCCATGGTCATACACGGGTGCCAACACCATGGTCAGCTGCAAGCTAATGGCAGACATTCATCCAGGAATATAGAAAGCCATAGCTGTGCACAGTTAGCCAGACAGTTAAATTAAAGGAGTTATGGGACATATAAACCCCTCCACAGGTCTAGCACATGGCCTGCCAACATTGTAGAAACTCATCCAATATGGGTGAGGCAGTGAATTGTTTAAACCGATATGTAATCCACTGAGAGAAGAAGCAGAGAGATAGAGTCAGAGGTTCACATTTCCTTGTAAGAATATGAGAGTAACTAAAGTCCTGGGAGAACTTGGTTTAAGACAGCATGCCATCTGACTAATATTTTAAATGTAAATTTAGATTTAGGTTTAGAAATCTACATTTATAAATTTAGATCCAGATTTTAAATAGATTTTCATTAATCTTCTGATGGTGAAATACCCTGTTGGGGAAACAGGAAAATTCCCTTGTTCAGGAAAGGTAAGGTAAGGCAATCAGATAGTAACCCTTCTGAGAAATGTCATTGAGTCTGGTTAAGACAGTTTAAAAAGAAATGTATTGTTAATTTTAAGTATAACAGATGCATTTTAATGTTCTCCACCTTCCCTCTTTTCAGCAAGTTGTGCTAGAAAAGGCATTGGAAATGGAGTCATAATATCTATATGCCAGTTCTGACTGGTACTTACTGTTTGTGATGATTGGCAGTTCGTTTAGTCTTTTTGAGCCTCAGGTTCCTAATCTATGAAAAAAGGAGAATGGTATAGAATCCCAGCCTCACAGATGTGTTGGGAAGATTAAATTTTAAAAAGGAGGAAAACAATTAATTAGAAAATGCTCTACCCAAGTTAGTTTTTATTTAGTAGACAATAAGATGTTTTTCTCTCCCTGTTACCTGGGACCACTTTGGCTTGAATAACCTAAAGGTTTGATCGGAGCAGTCCAGAATGCCTATATTTGTACTCTTAAGGAAGAGTGACTTAAAGATGATTTAGTAGTAGGTAATAACTCCAATTAAGCTCTCAGAGACTCATCTGGGGGTAAATTGGCAGGTCTTGTCGCAGTCAGGAGTCATTTACAGAGATACATTTTTCTCCTGTGTTACCATAGAGGAAAAACTGTAGTATATGTCTAATACAGGTACAACTCTAGGCAAATCAACATATAGAAATTCTTACTTACATAATATATTAATGTAAAGGAAATATTTTCTTTTAAAAAATTCTCGCTGAGATTCTTTGCAACTGCCAGTACAATCTTATTTATGTTATTAGTTAGTGACAATCTTTTCAATTCTGTGAAATAACACTGATAAATACCAATGGGATTATGAACTTGAACCCCTGAAATACTTTTGTAAGACCAAGCACTAATCAAACCTGCTTTGTAGTTGCACATTTATTTGAAGAAATGCAAATCAGAAAATAGCACCTACCAAAAGATTTGGTTTAAAGGAGATGAGATGTGGGAGATAGGGGGGACAAAAAATATGGAGAACCTAGCCAAAATAGAAAATTTGGTTTTGTTTAAAAACCGGTTTGCTGTTTTTCTCTGGATGATCTGACAACTTAATCCAGAAACAGATGAGGAATGTTGATATTGTGGATGATGAACAAAATCAACTTGATAAAATTGAAGAGGTTTGTCCACTAAAGGGCCACATGTAAGAGACAGCAGTAACTTCCAAGCCAAAAGATGCATAAAACAAGATTTATGCATTTAGAAAACTATTTTTAAAACTAGTGTTTGGATTTTAATACAACAATTAGAAGTCCTATCTAAGGTCTATTAAAGTCTGAACATTTTTGATTCGGAGCAGAAACATTAAATACAAACTTTTGCTTCTCTGTCTTTCTTGTGTGTGTCATGTCTAAATGTCTCAATGGCTTTAGCGGGAGTCATGTCTGCCTAAGAGAAAATAGGGCACTACGTAATTATCAGGAGAAATTAAACTACCAGGCTTCATTAGAGAAGTCACCCCTTACCTAGAGCATTTGCTCTAAAAACCAGCTACTTAGTAAAGATTGATTTGACTACTACTTTAGCTCTAGCTAAAGCCCTGTTACCTTTCAGTGATTTCAAAGCTCTTCTTAAACCTCCTTTTGCTTTCACAGCTAATCTATTGCCTCTCACTCTTCAAGGTTTTCAGTGCCTTTGAAAAGACCACCTGAAGGGAAAGAGATTACTGATACGGTTACAATAGAAACAGGTTAAAACAAGATGTCAGGAACCCAAAATAAGACAGCAGTCACTGGGGGTTAAAATTAGATGCTGTTTTCTTTGACTGTCTTTTTTCTTTTTTTCTTTTTTTTCTTGGGCTCAGGAATAAATCCATTCATCTTTTTTCTAATTTGCCATGCCCCTGTTTTACCCCCAGAAGTCAACCAGAATGTTAGAGGCTTCAATCTTATTGGACAAAGAACAAGTTCCCACAGTCGGTTTTGAAAACAAAAAGAACTACTGTTTACCTGGGAAGCTATATTTAACTTATTCAAAATCAGGTGACACGCAGAGAAATTAAATCACTTATACATTGCTAGTGGTAATATAAAATGATACAGCTTTTCTGAGAAATGGTTTAAAAGTTTTGAGGGGGTTTTTGCTTGTTTGTTTTTGTTTTTTTAGAGACAGAGTCTTGCTCTGTCACCCAGGCTCAGACTCAGTGAGCTCCTGGGCTCAAGTGATAGTCTCACATCAGCCTTCCAAGTAGTTGGACTATCCAGCTACCATGCCCAGCTAATTTTTATTGTTTTTTAATTTTTAGTAGAGACAGAGGCTCACTATGTTGCCTAGGCTGGTCTTGAAATCCTGGCCTCAAGCAATCCTGCTGCCTCAGCCTCCCCAAGTGCTGGGATTATAGGCATGAGTCACCTTGCTAGCCTGGGAGTTTCTTAAAACAACAACAATAACAACAAACTAAACATGAAATTACCATATGACCCAGCAATTGCACCCCTGGGCATTTATCCCAGGGAAATGAAGACTTGTGTTCACATGAAAACCTATACACAAAATGTTTATAGTAGCTTTATTCATGACAGCTAAAAACTTGAAACAATCCAGATGCCCTTCAGCAGATGAATGGTCAAACTGGGATACAGCCATTCCATGGAATACTAGTCAGCAATGAAAAGGAATGAGCTATTGATATATGAAACTTGTATGAATCCCAGGAAATTTTGCTGAATGAAAAAAAAATTCCAAAAGGCCACATATCTCATGATCCATTTAAATACTTTTTTTTTAAAACAAGGTCTAGTTTTATTGCCCAGGCTGGAGCCATCATGGCTCACTGCAACCTCCACCTCCCGGCCTCAAGCAATCTGCCCACCTCAGCCTCCCAAAGTGTTGGGATTATAAGCATAAGCCACCACTCCTGGCCTAAATAACCTTCTTGAAATTATAATATTATAGAAGTGGCAAATAGATTATGGTTGCCAGGAGTCAGGGACTGTGTGTGGGAGGAGGAGGGAGGTGTGGCTGTAAAAGGGCAACAGGAAGGATCTGTATAGTGATGGAAATGTTTTTTTCTTGACTGTATGACTGTCGACATCCTTGTGATAGTATCCTATAATACTTGTGCAAGATGTTACCATTTGGGATAAACTGGATAAAAGGTACAGGAGATTTCCATATTATTTCTTACACCTGCATGTGTATTGATAATAATCTTAAATTAAAAGTTTAACTTTAAAAAATCAAATGGCAAAAAAATACTCAAGAAGCTGAAAACCAAAATAATAATAGAAATATTTGACTTGAAAAAAAAGTCATGTGTATCATCACTTAGTATGACAAATATATCCAAAGCAAGATTGTCTCCAGATGTTTATTAAAATGTAACATCCAAAGGCCCTTGAGAAGAATGGTCTGTATAATAAATAATGCTGATAACCAAATGGCAGAATGGCTTATAAGAGAATCACAATGAGTGAGACCCTTTTTCACTAGAATGTGAGCTGTATGAGGACAAGCAACATGCTGCATGACCAAATGAATATGTATTGTGCATTTTTCCCCGGTTATCTTTTGCTGTGTAATGAACCATCCCAAATTCAGGGACTTCATACAATAATAATCATTTATTTTGTTTACAAATCTAGGGTTTGACTGAGCTCTGCTAAGCAGTTCTCACTCAATGTCCCTCATGAAGCTGCAGTTAGAATATGGCTGGGGTAGGATCTGGAGCCTGGACTAGAAAGACTTAAACAGCTAGGAGCTGGAGGAACTGGGGACTCCTTAAGCATCTATCTGTCTTCTTGTGATTTCTCCACATGGCAGTCTCAGTACAGCCAAATCTCTAATATGGCAGCTGGAAACCTCCCAGAGTGAGTTCCCAAGTGCAACAGCAAAGGCTGAATGGCCTTTTCTAGCCTAGACTCAGAAGTTGCACAGCATCCTTTAACGTTCTTGCTGAGAATTGCCATGGCGTAATACTAAGACTTTGTGCTTTATTATTATTCTTATTTTATTTATTTATTTTTGAGTCAGGGTCTCACTCTGTTGCCCAGGTTGGAGGGCAGTGGTACAATCTTGACTCACTGTAACCTCCACCACCCAGGTTCAAGCGATTCTCCCACCTCAGCATCCCAAATAGATGGGACTATAGGCACATGTCACCATGCCTGGCTAACTTTTGTATTTTTTGGTAGAGATGGAGTTTCACCATGTTGGCCAGGCTGGTCTCGAACCCCTGACCTCAAGTGATACACTCGCCTTGGCTTCCTAAAGTGTTGGGATTACAGGTGTCAGCTACCACACCCGGCCTATTTTTTGTTTGTTTGTTTTAAATTTTCTGGCTCCTGGGGCCGGGCGCCGTGCCTCACGCCTGTAATCCCAGCACTTTGGGAGGCCAAGGCGGGCGGATCACGAGGTCAGGAGATCGAGACCATCTTGGCTAACATGGTGAAACTCCATCTCTACTAAAAATACAAAAAAATAGCTGGGTATGTTGGCGGGCGCCTGTAGTCCCAGCTACTCGGGAGGCTAAGGCAGGAGAATGGCGTGAACCCGGGAGGTGGAGCTTGCAGTG